GCCGCGGCTCGCACCCGCCTCAGGCGGCTGCGTGAGCCGAACAGGCGCGCGTGCAGCCGAGGCGCCGGCTGGTCTGCGAGTGTCGCGTTGGCTGCTGCACTTGCGGCTGCGGCTGCGGCTGCGGCTGCGCCGGCCTGACGAGTGAGGGTCGGGCCCGTCCGAGCGCCCGCGGTAACCCTGGGCACCGCTGCGCCCGCCGCTGTCGCGGCCGCCTCTGTCTTTGCCGCGGCTGCGGCTCCTGGTCCTGCTCCTCCGCCGCGCCGCCTCAGACCTCCGTGTGTCGCCTCCGCGCCTGTCAGGCTCCCACGCCACGCCGCCACGACTCGTGTCCCTGCGCCTGCCGTCCCCTCGTGGCGCGTGCCTGTCCCGGTCCCTGCCGGCCCTGCTCCTGCTCCTGCTCCGGCGCCTGCTCCTGCTCCGGCGCCTGCTCCTGCTCCTCCGCCTGCTCCTGCTCCTCCACCTGCTCCTGCTCCTGCTCTTCCGCCTGCTCCTGCTCCTGCTTCTGCTTCTGCCCCTGCCCCTGCCCCTGCTCCTGCTCCTGTCCCTCGTCGAATGGTATGAGCGTCCGGGGCTGGGCAGCCGGCGCCGCTTGCCCGGGCTCCTGCTCCTGCTGCGACCCGCCCCGCTCCGCTGCCCCCCGACCCCGCGATCCTCGTCGGTGTGATGCCTGCGGCCGCTGCTCCTGCTGCGGCGCCGCGGCGAGCGGCCCTCCCGAGGCTCGCGGCTGCGGTCGAGCCGCTTGGCGGGCTCGGCCTCGCGGCGGCTGCCGCTGCCCCCAAGCGCGCGGGCTGGCTGCTCCGGGGCCCTGCGCTCGCCAAATTTGCAGCGGGCGCCGCGCGGGGCGCCGCTATCGCGCTGGTTGTCGCCCCTGGACAGCTTCGACGGCGACTCTTGCTGCTGCTGCTGCTGCTGCTGTTGGGGGTGCTGCGGCAGCGAAGCTGACCGCTGCAGGTGAGGGTTTGCCTGGGCCGAGCCCAGCAGCGCGCTTGGCTGTCGCGTCACTGCCGTGTGGCCATGAGCTGCATCGCCGTTGCGCACAGCGCGCAGTCCATCTGCTCGAGGTGGCGCCGATGCTGGGGCAGTGACTGGCGCAGCTGCTGCCACCCCGTGCCCGCTCGCCGCTCCGCGCCCCTGCGCCATCCCAAGCGTCGACGGCGGCGGCGCAGCCGCCGCGGGTGGCGTTGACGGCAGGAGGTTGGCTGCGGACGCCGCCGCAGCTGCCGCCGCCGCCGCCGCCGCCGCCACCGCCGCTGGCTTGGCCCTTGTCATTGTCAGCTTCAAGAGCTTGACTTTTGCTGGGCCAGGGGCCGACACCAGCATCGGTGCGATCTTCGCCGGCACCACCTCTGCGGCGGCAACCGCTGCAGAAGACGGCCGCCTCGCCCCACGCGGCAGCGTCGCCTTCGCCGCTGCCTTTGCGGCGGGGGCGCTGCCAGCCGCCGCGCTGGCGGGGCCGGCGCCGCGCGCCGCCTGCCGAGGAGTCGCCGAGGGGCGCTTGCGCGTCTGCTTTTGCTGAAGCCGAGCCTTTGCAGCCGGCTGCCGCTTGGCGCCTCGGCTCATGCCGAGCGCCGCCGCCAGTGCCTTGGACCGCCGCTGCGCCTGCGCGTTTGTCTTTTTTCGCGGAGCCTGCGCCACCTTTCGCTGCAGCCGCTGCGCCAGAGGGACGTCGTCGAGCGAATCGTCAGAGAGCGCGCCGCCGTCGCCGCCGCCAGGCTTTCCTGCGGCCACTGCTGCAGGTGCCGCCGCGCCTCCCACCGCGTCCTGTCCCCGTGGGTCCAGAACTACCTGCAGCCGCCGCTGCTGCTGCTGCTGTTGCTGCTGCTGCTGCTGCTGCTGCTCCTGCTGCTGCTGCTGTGACAGCGACCGCGCCACAGCTCCCTGCTGCTGTTGCGTGGTTGCGCCCTTCAAAACGCCCCCACACGCCGCCCCCCACCCTCCACCCGCATGTGCGTCGCGAGCGCCGTCTTGCTGACTGCCCGCTGCAAAATCAGGCTCGTCCTTCACGCGGCCGGCCTCTGCCGCTGGCGGCCGCCAGTTCCACCCCACTATGTCATCGCGGCTGATCATGTCCGTCGCCTGGGCTGTGGATGGCGGGGCTGGCTGCGGCTGAGGCTCCTCAGGCGGGTGTCGGCTGTTGTTCAGCTGCTCCAGCATCCGCCGCAGCACTTCCAACCCCTGCGTCTCGTCCTGCCCCGCACACCCCTCCATGGGCGGCTGCGCCGGCTGCGACCACCGCACCTCCATCGCCTCGGCCTGGGGCTCGCGGGCGGCCTCCTGCCTTGCTTGCTGCTGCAAATGTCGGCCTTCTGCCGGCGCCTGCGGTTGGTCTGAATGCGCCGCCATTACTGTGCCGCCGCGCCGCCGCTGGCCGCTGGCGTCGCTGCAGGCGCTTGGTCCGCTGCTGCGGTGGAGTCACCGAAGCGCCAGGGACGCTAGCGGTGCCCCAGCGCCACGGCTGCTGATGCCGCAGCCGCTCAACAGGGGTTGTGAGCCAACATCACATGCGCTTTGCAGTGGCCAACAGGGGAGGAAGCTGTCATGCTGTCGCTCATCAGAGTCCCCTCTAGAACACGTGTGTGCCTGCAGCAAGCGTGCAGTGAAGTCCTGTGGGGCTTAGGCTTCTGTCACCCGAGATTTGCAGGCAGCTCTGCCGGGCACAGGCACGATGAAAACGCCGAAAGCGCCGCTGGCATCATGGCAGCAGCACGAGATGCGGCGCTTGCGCGGCTCATGACCAGTGATGTTCTACCCCTATAGCAGACATCAGCGTTCGTTGCAAAGGCCTCTTGACGATGAATGGTCTAGCACACCTTGGGATGACCGGAGTACTATTCAGTGGCAAATCTGGCGCAAGCCGCGCACAGCCCTCGACTCGCGACGCAGCTGTCGAGCACAGAAAATCGATTTGACAACCATAAGTAAGAATCCAAAGAAAACATTTGAGAAGCACGAACGTGCTCTCGTATGCACGTTGCCGACTCCGTGTTGATGCGGCTGACGGGCCAATGAGCCAAGTCAACACGCTCTCACGGGCGGCAATGCACGCGCGCACATGCAAGGACCCCCTTGCCTTGTCAACCCAGATGCTTGGCGTAGCGGCAACTTGAAATAAAATGCGCTGTGGGCGTTGTGTGCTGCCCGCATGTGAAGGCACTGCATGCTCAATCAGTGAGCGCAACAGCGAGGCTCCAGAGCAGGGGCCCTTAGGCGTAGCTGCTGCGGCAGCTGGCTCGCAATCAAGACCGCAGTGCTGCTCGCAGAGCAGTACTTGGCAGGCAGCTGGCGTCCCATCAGCTGCCCTTCGCCTCCGGCTCTTCTGGGGTGCCAGCGGCCACCCTCCAGTTTCCCTTTCTTGTGCTGACGCTGACATCACCAGTGGCATTGAGTCAGCTACCCAATCGTCCCATCCGCGTATATGAAGCAGTTTGCTGGGTGCCATATGAGCGCACGGCGATAGCCTGGTCTTTGAGGGCCCATGTCCCGGGCGCCACACACCAGTTTGTTGCCGGCACTTGTCGACAAGCGGGGGTTGCACCACTTTCCAGGGGTGGATGGCAGGCAGGGAGCTTTGGCTGCAACGGCAGAGCAAGGGCGAGCTTTCTTTTTTCCCCTTTCGCCACTGTATACATTGGCGGTCTCCGCTGTTGGCTAGTCAGTTGTACCAGGGGGATCTCCTCCACTGGAGGTTCTTACTGAGGACTGCTTTTTCAACGTATTTAGCAATGCCATGATTCCAGACCAAATGCTGGACAATGATCCTTACACAACCACCCTAGCTTTGCAAGGGCGCGCTGCTGTGCCGTGCTGAGCCCCGGCTGCTTGCGCACGCGCCCGTGCTGGCCGCCTGGCGTGAGAATTCACCCCGCCTCCCAGCCCGCGGAGTGCCGCCGCCGCCGCCGCCGCCGCCGCCATGATCATATCAGGCCGCGGCCACAGCGCCGGTGAACCCGCAGTCAGGGAATGCCCCGCGCGCCTCGTCGATCGTCGGCCGCGGCTGCTGCTCGCCCTCGGCGCCGCCCTCCTCGCCCTCCACCGCGACCGACTCCTGCCAGAAGTTGATGACCTCGGTGAGGCGGTTGAGCAGCACGATCCTGTCGCGGTCGGTGATCCAGGGCTTAGCCTCCAGAGCCACGCGCAGCTCGTCCCAGGCGTCGCGCCGGGGCCAGACAAAGTACTCGGTCAGGGGGCTCTGCGCGCCGCGCGCGTAGACCTGCGGGGTGCGCGTTTGGGGGGCGCGCGTTTGGGGGGCGGGCACGACACATGGATGGGTTGGGCTTGCATGCAGGATAACACTTGTGGAGGTGCGGCTCCAGGTTGCAGTGCTGGAGCCACGGTGGACCAGCAAGCGAGCGTACCAGCAGTCCCCGCGGCATACTGAGTGCGTACGGCGCCTTGCCCCGCGGGTGTGTGGATTCCTCACGCACCTCTGCTATAAATACACGTGTGCTCATACACAGACACAAACTTGAGCGCACACATGCCCGCACCTGGTCAACCGCGACAGCAATGTTCTTCTCAAGCCAGAGGAAGTTGAGCTTGTAGGTGGGCAGCGGGATGTCGCCGCTCTTCTTGTTGCTGAACCAGTCAATGGTGGTCTGGTCCCAGTCCTGTGGAAAGGCGCGGGGAGCCAAGGTTTGAGAGGGCTCAGGTTGAGAGACGCGCTGCTAAGGGATGGCACAGGCCCGCAACGTGAAGCTTGACATGGACGCGGTGGCCCATCACGGGCGCTGAAGCTGAAGGTGGAAGGGAGCACACGCGTCTGAACAAGAGCAGGCACACCGGGACAAACACACACGCACACACACGCGGGCGCGCACACACGCGCGCACACACACACACACACACACACACACACACACACACATACACACACACACACACATGCGAGCATGGATCCCTGGTTCCCACACTGGCACCTCCATGTCGCCGGCCGCATTCCTACGTCCTCGGGTGCACCAAGCGATAACTGGCACAGAGTGCCACCACACCCAACACACGCAGCAAAAGCTGACGCAGCCCGCGCCCCAACCCCAACTCTCGCAGCCCAACCAGCCCACGTGCGCGCCACCCGCGCCCCCGCCCCCGCCCACCTCAGGCACCATGCCCTCCACCAGCTCCTCCTGCGACAGCTTGGCCGCCGCCACCAGCTGCCTCATGCCCGCCGCCGTCTCGTTGTCGTACAGCGCCAGGGGGTCCGCGCCGTCGTCGGGGCTCGCGGACGGCGCGTACTCCTCGCTCGCCTCCACCTCGGTGGCGAGGCCCTGCGCCTCGGCCAGCTCAGCGGCCTCGGACACGACGGCGTCGACGACGGACGCGCTCGAGCCGTCCGCGGCGGCGTCGAGGAAGGCCTCGAACTTGTCGGCCGCAAGGGAGGTGAGGTACGCAGTGGTCTCCTCGGAGCCCGCCTCGCCTTGGGGGCGCACGGGGCGAGGTGGTAGGCGGGGGGGATTGTAGGTGCATGGCCATGTGGTGGACGTATATGCGCGTGCGTGTTTGTGTGCGCGCGCCCGTGTGTGTGTGTGTGTGCGCGCGCGCGTGTACGTGTGTGCACGCACATGCGCACCACTCCCAGGACTCGTATCTGACATGCAGTGTTGGCGCGTGATAGGCGAAGGTACCGAACGCCCAGAAGGTCGTCCTGCAAAGCTCTCAACCAAAGCAGTGGACCGAGGCATTCGCCTCAGCTGCGGCTCGAGCAGGGCCGCCCCGGGCAGGAGAACCCGCCAGCGTCTGCTGCTAAGCTGGTCGCTGATTGCATCAAGGGACCTTCGCTGCTGCAGTGTAGGCACCAAGGGGCACTCCCGCCGCTGCGTCGCCCCTCACCAGCGATGAAGTCCTTCTCCAGCTCTGCCACGGTCAGGGCATCCGCCATGGCCCTCTGCACGTCCTCGTCGTACACATTGCCGCTGCTGGGCTGCAGGGCCTCCTGTGACCGCAGTACATCAATTGCGACCCGGTTGCGAAACAGTGTGCTGCCGCCGCCGCTGCCGCCCCACTGCACCCGCAGCCTTCAGCACGGGCAGGCAATCGTAGTTTGTCGCAATTCAATTGCTGAAAAGACAGCTCATTGAGGCCAGCGCCCCCTGCACCGATTGCCCGCATGCCTTGCGAGCCACTGGTTGGCCTGCAATCTGGCGACCTGTTCGACCGCTCATTGGTTCGCTCGCGCGTTCGAGACCCTCACCTCAGCTGCTGCGCGAGCCACAAAGGCCTTCTGCTGCTGCTTGAGCGCCTTGGGCACCGCTGCTGTGAAGGGGGCCGGCCGCGCCACGCGGCGCACAGCGGACGCCCGCTGCGGTGCAAAAGTACGAGTCAGCATAGAAACTAAACGCAATGCCCCTGCGGACCCGGCATGGAGCCCACCTGCACAGTCTGGCTGAGGGCCGTCGCCATCCTTGCTGCCCGCTGCGTGTCTGTTCTAGTCCCTCGATGCCGAGGACTGTGCACGCGGTCACCACAACGTGAATGTGGATTGCAGAGAGGTCGGAGTGTGGGAGCATGCGCACATAGGGGTCGAAAGACTGGTCTGCTTCCGCCCGCCCCAGCAACTCGGGTCGTTACAGCCATCAAGCGGGAAGAAGATACCATTCAATTCGGTTCGCCCGCCACAAGGCTCGCCACGGGTGCTTCGGGCGCAGCTGAAAGCGCTCCCGCCACCCCGCGTCAGCAGTGACAAAAAAGCTCGCGCCAACCTCAAAACGAGCGGCACCCTCGCCCGTACAGCGCATTGCACAAACCAACAGAAGGCCTGATCTGCAAGGTACAACGCGCACAACGTGTGGTCAGGGGACGGTCAAAGGGTGGCAGGGCAGGAGTGACCATGACCTGCTTGCTGGAGATCACGCAGCGACGCCGGCCCGCAGCGCACCGAGAGCCGCTGCTGACCGGCCCACGCCTGCGCCGCAGCCAGCGTGCAGCAGGCGGCACACATGCTCGCAGACCATGTCCAGCAGCTTGGCGGCGCCGGCCGCGGAGCCTGCCGAGGACCCTAGCACCGGCTCCAGCGAGGCCCGCGCCTCCTCGGCCGCCGCAGCCCAACCCTCGGGCGCCACAACGACCTCGATGCTGGACTCAATGCCTGCGATTGACACAGGTGGCAAAGACAATGCGAACCTCAGTGCAGACTGGCGGTTGCGAGCTTCCGCAGGCACGCGCACGCGCCCTCCGCCGTCATGACCAGTCCAGGTTGGAGCGCCCCCAGAGCCAACGGCACCGAGGGTGTCGCTGCGCACCTGTGTTGAGCCTCGGGTCTAGCAGGCCGCTCAGCCCCAGCCCCAGGTCCACCTTGACTCCCCGCGCCGCATCCACGAACGACAGCACCAGCGACTCGCGCGCGGCGTCGACGCGCGCGCCGGCCAAGGGCCGCCACGTGACAAACGCGCGGCCGACGCACTCGGCGAGCGCGGCCATGCGGTCGAGGCGCAGCGCGAGCAGCGGCATGTGGCAGCGCAGCGCAGCTGCGGGGAGCTCGTGTTGCTTGGGCAGAGTTGCCGCTGCAATTGGTGGGGTGTAGGGATCGAGTTGCTGGTTGTGTAAGCTGTGTCGTGTGTGCGTGCGTGTGTGTGTGTGTGTTGTGTGTGTGTGTGTTGTGTGTGTGTGTGTGTGTGTGTGTGTGCGCGCTCTCTCACGCACTCGCCCGCACGCATGCATCCCGTCCAGCACAGCGCTTGACGAGGCATGCAGAATTGTTCAAGGGGCTGATCAAGACCCAGCCAGCACACAGTTGTCAACAGCAAACCCACCCAGCTGCTGCAGCACGCTGCTCTGAAGTGCAGGCACGCTGCCTGTGGGCGGGTCAACGGCCACAGCGATGGCTGCGATGCTGCCGCCCTCGCCGGAGAAGCTGAGCTGGCAGGTGAGGCCGAGGCGGAAGCGCAGCAGCCAGCCGCCGCCCTCTGCCGCAGTGAGCCTCCACGGCTGCGCGAAGGTGGCAGCGAGTGGGTATTGGAAGAAACGCAGGCAATGCAGTGCAGAGCACATCAAGCACACACACCCTCCCAAGAAAAGTAAGGGGGCGTGCACATGGAAACATTGGCAGCCCGTCAGCTAGCTTGAAGATATCCTTGCAACAATGACGGCCGCTGTTAGCAGGGGACCTTGATTCAATGCACACCTGCAGGCCCATGAGGATGTCAAACCTCTCCCCGGCGTCTATCAGGCGGTCGGCGGACGGCTGGCCGCGCGCGGGCGTCGGCACGCTGGTCACTGTTGACGCCAGCCCCTCCAGCTGCTGCTGCGCCGCGGCGCGCTCCGCGTCGACGCGAGAGCGCTCAGCCTGTGTGTTTTGGGGGGTGTGCGTGCGCGCGCATGCGTGTGCCGAGGGGTCCTGAGAAGGAGCCGGTGCAAGCGAGCTCCGCGCGCCTCCCCCAAATGCCAGCTGTTCAGGGCGTTTGGCGTGTATGCGTGGCGCAAGGCGAGCCCTTGCCAGCCTCTGCCTTCCCGCTTCCCGCTGCACCTGCAGCTGCGCCGCCTCCGCCGCCACCGAGTCCGCGCGGCGCTGGCGGTCCGCGTTGATCGCCCGCAGCTCCTCCAGGCGCGCGCGCGCGTACTGCAGCCGCGCGCGCGCTGCGCCCGCGGCGTCACGCTCGGCCGCCTCCGCGTCCATGCGCTGCTGCGCGTCGAGGGCAAACGCCTGCACCAGCTCCCGCTGCTGGTGCGCGCGCCGCAGGTTGTTCTGCGGGCGCGCCGTTGCCGAGGTAGCCACACGGTCGGTTCGGTCAGCCAGCACAGCGCAGGATGACACAGCACAGTACTGCACAGCGCCCCAACGCTGAGCCCGATTATTTGGGGTGCCCAACGCAGGCCTTCACAGCCAGTGCCGCCCAGAGCTGCCCAGTGGGCCCCGCCCGCCCCGCCCCTCCTCGCCTGCACGAACGCGAGCTCCTCTTCCAGCCGCGCCTGCTGCTCCGCCAGCCGCCCCGCCAGCCCGCGCTCCATCCCTGCGCGCAGCCGCTTCCAGCCGGAGCCGGTCTGCGCGCGGCAGCACTTCTTGCGCAGCACGAGGGCGTGCTTGAGCCCCTCCAAGTCTGTGCGACGAGAGGTCTGCGCCGTGGCGCCGCGGAATGGCGGCGAGAGGGGGCAGGATGCTGGGGTTCAGCAGAGAGCGCACGTGTATGTGCTTGGGAGCTGGGGGGTCTGAAAATGTTTTGAAGCTGCTGCGCTCAGGAGGGCAGGGCGGCGCGCGCGGAACAGGCCGGCGTGCAGAACAGGCGGCAAGGGCTGCGAACGGTCTTGGCGGGGCTGCGCCTTCAGCAGCTGCGCTCTGGTTGAAAAGGCCCTCTCCGCCAGCCAACAGGCCATAAGGCAGCAGGCAACCAAGGCGGCAAACAAAAAAGGCAGCATGCGGAAAGGGCGGCAAGCAAGAGAGGGCTGTCGCGCACCTGGACCGCGGCAAACACGGCAGGGTTGTGCACCTCCAGCTCCTCCTCCAGCGCGTGCACCTGGCCGCGCTTCGAGCGCATCACGCCGTGCAGCTCGTTGAGCGCACCCTCCAGCACAGCCGCCTCGGGGCCCGTCAGCGACAGCGCCTGGAGGGGGACGGGTGCATGATGGGGCGGCGGAGGGCTCGCTCCTGGGTGCTCAATGGTGAGCAGAAACCTGGGCCTGGACGGCGGTGAGCCCAGCAATGCACCCGAACGGAGTATCTGAAGCAGCGACCAAAGCAGCGGCGGCGGCAGGCGGCGGTGCCACTGCATAGGGCGGCGGTCCAGCCCTCAGCCAGTGCATGCGCGCACCCTGAGGCCGTCGGCCAGGTCTGAGGGGACGGGCCCCGGCGCGAGGTCCATCATATTGATGCTTGTGCCGCGGCGGATGTGGTCCAGGAACTGCATGTCGACAATCTGGTTTAGGGGGGAAGATAGGGACGGGGAGGGGGAGGGCAGGGGCGAGGGTGAGAGTGAGGATGAGGGGAGGGCAAGAGGAGGGGGAGCAGTGGCCAGGGAGCGCGTTCTTGATTTGGGGCGCTGACAGCGGGAGCATGTGCGCACAGCAGCGGGAACAGGGGCGCGGCGCCGGCCGCCGGCGCGCTGGAGGCTCTATGGTCATGGCGAGTCGTTCGGGAGCGTTTCTGGTCAACTGCAGCGGGTGGTCGGTTTGACCAGCGAGGCCGCGCAGCAGCATGGTCCAAAGGCAAGGGCTGGTCTGCGCAGGTAGGGGCTGCAAGGAGAGAGCAGCCGCGCCATGCCCTCTGACCTGCAGGAAGTCTTGGAACGTGATGAGGTGGGCGGCCGGGGGCGCGCCGCGCGGCGTCGCGCCTCCGAGCACGCCGGCCGGGGCGCCTGCAGCGAGGGGGCGGCGCGGGGTGCGGTCTGGGGCCGCGGCGGGACTCGAGAGCGCAGCACGCTCGGCGAAGCGGGTGCATTGACACTGCGCATGCATCCATTACGGTCAGCAAGCACCCCGATAGCAGACAAACATTCCACCCAGATGCGCACCAGAGAAAGGCATCGTCGCCCCGCGGCCGCCGTCCATCCCAGCCTCGGGGCCCTCCTCCCCCTCCCCCGCCGCCTCCCGCGACCCCTGCGCCGCGGCCGCCGCCGCCGCGGCCGCCAGCTCGGGCGGTGGCGCGAACTCGTCGATGGTGTTGTCCTCCATCAGCGCGCCCTCCCCCTCGCCCCCGCGCCCGCCCGCGGCGGCCGCGGCCGCCATCGCGACCTGCAGTTCCAGCGAAGGGTCCGACGCGCCGTCGAGGCCGGCGGCGGCGGCGGCGGCGGCGGCAGGCGCCCTGTGGCGCGGGACGAAGCCCGAGGCGCCGGTCGCATCTGCGAGCAGATGCTGGGTGAAGCCCTCGTCGTAGGGCGCGAGGGCGGGGCCCGAGCCGGCGGCCGCGGCGGCGGCGGCGGCAGGGACGGCAGCGGGCGCTGGGACGTCGTCGCCGTCGGCGAGCAGGCGGGTGGTGGTGCCCAGCAGCTGCGCGCCGGCGCTGCCGTGGCGCAGCTGCGGGCGGATGGACGAGGGGTGCGGCGCTGGCGGGCGCGTGGGTGGCAAAGAACCAGGGCGTATCCCGCAGGGCCTGCATGTGCCAGGGGTAACCGCACCAGATTGCATGCCAGCTCTCACTCGCAACGGCACAGACAGGGGTTCAATGCACTTTGCCCCAAGCAAGCGTTACTCACGAGGTTTGAGGTGACGACCATGTTGCTGCCTACGCTGCCGCGTCCCCCGCCCAGCGAGCCGCGCGCCAGCGGCACGCCCGCCCACTCGTCCGCAGCGGCGCGCTGCACGGCCGGGCCAGCAGCGGCGGCGACAGCGGCGGGGACCTCGGCCGAGTTGTCGCCCTCGTCGCCTCCCATGATCTGCATCAGCTTTCGGGTCATCCCCTCTGCTTCGAATCCGTCCACGTCAACGCCGGCACCCTCCTCTCCGCCCTCGGAGTCGGGGGAATCGCCGGGCGCAGCGCCGCGCTCGGCCGCCGCTGCCGCCGCGTGGCGGCGGACGGCGCTGCTCGGCGTGGCCGGCGCCGCCGCGGCG